GAGGACAGGTGAGGACAGGTTCTGTTTGATGGGTCTACAGGTGGAGGACAGGTTCTGTTTGATGGGTCTACAGGTGGAGGACAGGTGAGGACAGGTTCTGTTTGATGGGTCCACAGGTGGAGGACAGGTTCTGTTTGATGGGTCCACAGGTGGAGGACAGGTTCTGTTTGATGGGTCCACAGGTGGAGGACAGGTGAGGACAGGTTCTGTTTGATGGGTCTACAGGTGGAGGACAGGTTCTGTTTGATGGGTCTACAGGTGGAGGACAGGTTCTGTTTGATGGGTCTACATGTGGAGGACAGGTTCTGTTTGATGGGTCTACAGGTGGAGGACAGGTTCTGTTTGATGGGTCCACAGGTGGAGGACAGGTGAGGACAGGTTCTGGGTCTACAGGGTTAGATGCAGATCTCAGGGGTCTCTGCTTCCTGTGTGGAAGAGAAAAGTCTGAGCTGAGATAAGATTTGAAGTCTTTGACCTTTGACCTGCGAGGGTTAAACCRGTCAGTCCTACAGCAGAGACACACTGACTGATGGTTCTGTTGGGAAGCTGGTCCACACAGGACTGGCTTGAACTGGTCTGTTGTCCATGAGGACATTTTCTTTCCATCAGTAATGTCCTGTGAGCTCACTGATCCTGAGGGATGCAGGTGTGTGGGGTCAGAGCTGAGGGAGGAGCAGCAGGTTGGAAATGAAGCTTCAGGGTTTTGAAGCGTTCCTCTGATGGACCTGCTCCAGTCAGCAGCTTCACAGGGTTTTTAATGTAAGTTCTCAGCCTTTTCTTCCTGTCTTCTTTTTCTCTGACACTCAGGAGGGACTCCTGAGAACCTGGCAGGTTTACAGCTGCAGAGGTTTCTGTTGGACACACAGACCCCCTTCCCTTCAGGGGTCCGACCCGCTGCAGCCTCAGGCAGCTCCGATAATCCCTGCAGGACCTCCAGGTGGGACGGACTAAAACCAGCCAAGGTTTTTGGACTTGTTTATTGTCAGAGGAGACAGTTTGAGGTTTTCTTTGTTAGCTAACAGCTAACTGTACGATGGAAGAACAGGAAGCAGTTTTACAGCTGATTCACAAACACTTGTGTTGAAATCAGAACAAGAAGTGATGTGAACTGACTGACATCCCATGATGACATCATTATTTAGGTTTCCAGCTGCTCTGATTCCTGCTTGTCTCCTCAGCATACCGAGCTGCTGTTCCAGAACCATCACACTCTGGAGGTGGGCCGGCAGCTCCTCTCCATGGGAGACCAGGAAGCCCAGGCTCAGCTGCAGGAGGAGTGGGAAAACCTGCACCTCCTGCTGGGAACATGGATGGATCTGACCGAGGCCATCATGGAGGTGAGCAGAGAGGAGCAGAGCTGTCATCCTGGTCAAACCCTTTGCTCTGCTTTGGCCTGAAATCAAGCAGAGAGCTGCGAGCACTTCCTGTCTGTGAGCTCAGTGAGCTGTTAACCCTCAGAGTATGTGCTACAGCTGACTCTCAGCTACTACCACACCATGTTGCAGCTCAGCCTCTGTAAACTGTTGTTGTCATGTTATTCCAGGGTGTTCATACTGGTTCATTCCACTGATAAATCACTC